TTCGCCGGCAGCCACATCAGCATTGACATTGAGCACCTGACCGTCGGGGGTCTCGGCCATGGAGGTCAGGATGGGCAGACATCCAGCGGCAATGGCTGACTCAATGGGCGCCTTGTCAACACCGTTGATCTTACCGACCAAATTGTACTTAGGCTTGTCGAGGTAATCGGCCGAAAAAACGCCCGCGGTAATGGGACGGGCACGGATACCGATGCGCTCGAGCTCCTCAACCAGCTTCATGTTCTCCTCCAGGAAGAGCTTGCGGGCGAGGGCCAGGGTCTTGCCGTCAGTCACTCGGATTCCATCCTCGAAATGAGGCTCCACGCCGGCCGCCTCCAGCATGCGGTTAAGCTGGGGGCCGGCACCGTGGACGACGATCGGGTACAGACCGACATGGTTAAGGAACGCAAGCGCGGATGACAGGGTCTGGAGGTGCTCAGTAATAATAGCGCCGCCAACCTTGATCACGGCGAACTGCTGAGAGGACACGGAGGTGAAGTGTGACAGGTACTGCTGGACCTCGCGCTTAGAGCCAATGTTGCTCAACAGTTGCACGACGGTGCTGCGGGTAGAGGTCAGGTGAGGATCCGTCGAGCGAGAGTAATTGCGAGTCTGGCGCAGGGATGTGGCAGTCTTTACTGAGACTCGCAGAGGAGCAGTCGGTGCGGAGAGAGAACGGAGGGGCTTGCACGAAGCTCTCCGCACAGCGGAGCGAAGGGACATCATCTTGGCAACGCACATGCGGCAGCCTCAATGGTCTCACGGTCGGCCCTGGGTGGGAGAGGCCCCAAATATGTATAAGTAGGTAGAAGGAAGGTGGTAAGTGAGAAAGTTGAGTCAAGAGAGATATTTTTCAGATCATCGGCCGGGCCTCGGAGCGATAACTTTGACCCAATGACGGGGAGAAGGCGGTGGACCCCCTCTCTAGCGAGCAATTTATCTCCCCATCTTTGTTTGCAATTGGGATTCTTTTACGTTTCGTATACATGGGAATTGTTGATTTTTATTTCTTTTGTCTCAAGAACTCCTAGAGGATTATTTTCCCTGGTCTTCTTTTATTTCTCTGTACAATATTAACATTTGTGTGACGCCGCAACCGGGCGAAATAAACTCCATAAAAGAAAAAGTTTCTTCACGGGCTCGGATATCAACCCTGGAACTTGGAATCTCCTTAGACTTCCTCAAGAGAGAGTATGACCTCCGAAAAAGCCCACTTCCTCTGCTCGGAGATCGTGAAACGTCATCCTCCTTGGGTTTAGTCTCAGTTATCTGATCCTGTCCCTGCCTCTCACTCGTTCCGTTAGGTCACCGCTATCCACTTCCCTCCACTCTGGCTGGACCTAGCACTCTGCGCTTCCTGCCGACATATATACGAGGGCTTCTCTAAGTGGTCTAACTGAGGAATCGGTGGACACTCGTTCTCGTGCCAAGAGTCTCCATTATTATCTGATTTTTTCTTACTGTCGGTTGATGAATTCCCGAAGGATTCGTCAGGAGGGGCCAGGATTGCGCTGCTGCACTCGTATAGCAGGAGATCCACGGTGGAAACATTTAGATCATGTTAGATTAATGCCAAGTAGAGCTCGAGCATATGTATGTACATACTCTGTAAAGCATACATAACGGGTTCCTGGAAGGATATTCTCATTGGCGAATTGGAACTTCACGGGTCAGACGGGTCTTGGGCCACGTGGACTTCCAAGTCTGCTAGCCCTCAGCCCTGTAATGGTCAACCGCCTTGTCTACGAAACAGGGAATGTAAATACTAGCCAAAAGCGGAGAGACCCCAATCTCTGCCGGACTCGGTCGCCCTTCTTCCTTCATCACTTGTGCACACTCATGAACCGGTATGTATGCACAAGGCTGGACGTTGTCTTTGCTCAGTGTGGATCTACATTGACGTTCTACATTGTATAGCTATGATGCTATTCAGGTACAGCAAGACTCGGCAATCGAAATTCGCTTCAAAACACGATAAGGGAGATTCATTGCAGTCAGAAAGCACCCGAATGGTTGTGTGGTAAGCATACTTGAACACGGCGTCATGGAAGTATCATTTACATCTTCACCCGTCGACCGGGTCGCAGGTGACACAACCCAAAATCGGATGATCTCGCTTCGTTGCATGGAAAAGTCAAAGAGGATTTGGTCATCGAAAACACGCCCAGAAAAAAACAGCAGGAGGTATTAGCGGCTGTGAAGAAAACAAAAGGCCACACGGGCCCAGCAACAGTAAGCCCAGTAAAATTCAAGATCCCATGTCCAAAGATAAGTCGTAAGTCGCGCGCAGTTGAAGTGCTTAGTGCTTAGTGCTTAGTGGCAACCACTGTGGACGGTGTTAGTGTCGCGCTGGAGAGTCAGGTAGGGGAATGCCAAGGAGCGCTTACCGGACGGCACAATAATGACAATCAGGAGAACGATCACACAGATGACTAGACACACGCGCATCTTCATGTCCTTCCACCACATGTCTTTGCGAACGCGATTGGCACCTCGGCGGAAGCCCTGGGCCGAGACGGCGAGGTTGTCGGTCTTGTCCTGGAGAGAATCCAAGTTCTCACCACGTTGGGAAACCTTGTTGATGTTTTCGCGCATCACACCAACAGTATCATCGATTTGCTATAGATGATACCATGTCAGCCCCATTGCGAAAATCAACCGCCCCAGCCTTCGCATTTTGATAGCTCAACAAGAAAGCAAGCATTCGCTATCCACCAGACCATATTTGTCTGTTTGCTCACTGGCTGAGGTCGCTAGGAGTCAAGAGATTGTCGAGGATTGACTTACTGCTTGCAAAGCGGCGGTTCGCTGGTTGCCATTCTGCCCGGTGGCAGCGGGGGCTCCAGCGGAGCCAGATGGGATATAGGGGTCGTAAGGTTGTTCGGAGGCAGCCATTATGAGAGTCGTGAATGAATTTGAGAGAAGCTCAGATTTTTGATTGCCGGATATTGGGAGTGTCTAGACGAACTCGCAGGAGCACTAGGGGTTGCGCTGTTTTGATGGGGAGGCGCAGTAAAGGGGGAGTCTGGGGGACTAAAATCAACGCAGACGGTGTGTATGGGGAATAGCTATTGTATGCTGATAAAGATTGGGATACAGCGCGACGGCAGGTGACAGAGGGGAAGAGATTAACGGTGTTGTCTGGAGTGAAGCTGACAAGTTGTGAGTTGCCGCTGAGGCGGCTTTGCCCAGAGTCACGTGTTGTGGCGTTCTCAGTACAAAGCAGGCTCCCGGTTTTGGTCTTTGGGATTGAATGTTAAATATTTTCAAGTCTAGGACCATTGGCATTTATTGGCTGCGAAGCCAGTGGCGTTGAATCAGCCTAGATCGTGGTGGGATGATCAAAAGAAAATTATCTATCACAAACAGGCACAATGGAGTTTACTATAAGCATGATAGTCGATGTATTTTATACTTCATACAAGTACATGTGTAAAACACATGACTTTGTATTCCGTAGATATTCCTCGGTGCAGAAATAGTTTGTCTCCAAAGCTTTTTTCTTATTATACGGATTATACGGCTGCCTGTTCATACAAGTGTGAGAAGTGTGTTGCTCGAGGAACCCGCCCACGTGCTATTATTAGTAGCAACTGGCATTTCTGGCATTTGGCAACATTTTCCGCCGAGGTCTCGTTGACTTGGCGCTACATGTACGGGGTACCTTTCAAGGAAGTAAATGATTAATCTATGAAACAAGCCTCAAGTTGCGACAAACAGAAAACAAATCTATTGCAATCTCCGATATGGAAAAGTACGAAGTATACAAGGCGGATTGATCGGATATTTATTTCGATGTACTCCGTACTAAAGCCCACAATGAGAACTGATGACAATCTCACCCATGGATGCTACCATTATTATTAGTATGCTGTGGAAACTTGTATAATCTCTTGCACTATATTTCATATACCCCATCTGAGGCCTTTGTCTCGATCAGTCAATGCAATGCATCTATCGAACATGAAACGATGTGCTTCTTTCTCACGAACGCAAAAGATAATAATGATTTATCAATCCCTCGAAGGCTTTAAAAAACGTGCCTATCAATAATGATGACCTTGGTGCCCGAGAAACAAATTGTGAAAGACTAAAAAGGAAGCCAAAGATCAGTGTGAGCTGCTGATACAGACAGACATGGTCATCAGAACAGCCCAATCCAACAACCACAGCTTGAAGCGATTTTCGCGTAGCCAACTCGCTATGGAGGATAGCGTCGGCCAGCTTGACTAGCATATCTCTTGGAAGGTCAGGCTCATGCATCAACCCCACCTTTTTCCTATAATCGAAAGAGTGTCCTCGAAGGCCAGTAGGGCATCATCCACTGCAAGGCTATCAAATGAAGTAATAGCACCCACTTCGCCCTTGGTTAGTGAGAACTGTTTTTCTTATTAGCCGCTGACTCCGCCGAGACAGACTTTTTAGATAGCTAGTTAAATAACTAGTTAGTTATGCAATTTTAGTAAACCCATTCTTACTAGTTCCCGGGCTTTGCTGGGAGGTCCACTTTCAACCTGCACAAACTTACCAAAAGCCCTACTTAAGGCGCTGTTCGGCCAACGATGGTCCACCGAGAGACAACCAATCTCAGGGCCAGAGTCATGACACATGCAGCATCGCATAACTAACCACAGGTCGGAAATAATCATTTCCAACTTTGCTCACTCCAAGATCATACCTTATAATATTACGGAGTATATGCGATATGCACAAGATAGTACATAACCTAGCGTCTCATTTGAAGAGTCACTTTTGGATATCATTTCCCGGTATTTATCCACTTCGCACATTACCATTGATCAAAGTCGAATTATCACCAATCTTACAGGGAAGGTGCTTTAGGCGCTTGGCATGATTAGTTCTTGAAATTGTCTAAATTCTGTAGTAGTTTAGACAAGGCAGAGAAGAATAACAATCTATAAACTTTACGAGGTTGGAAACATAGGTGGAATTGTAGAAAGTCAATAGTTGCCTATATCCACAAGTTCCCATCATCTCAGCTAACCCCTGATAGCCTTCGCGACAGTCTCCTCGATAACTCTAACCATCTCCTCCGTATTCTTCATATCAAACGGAACCATATGCTTAGAACCATGATCATAGAAAGCCGCCTTAGTGGGCTCACAAAGCTCAAATAACTTGACTCCCTCGGGGAACAGCGCATCGGCTTTACCAACGATATTCGCCGTCGGAATGGTAATCGGATAGATATCTGGCTGCGGCGAAATCTGCTCCAGTCCGGAACTCTCCCATGGCATCGCACTGCAAATAAACACCGCTGCACGGAATAGCGGCGGCTCATCTGGGTACGTCTTGCTCTGGTGGATTAAAAGTGCAGCTGCTAGTGCCGCGCCTTGTGAAAAGCCTATCACCGCATCGAATGGGCCTTCTTCTGCGATGAATTGCTTGGTGTGGTCGAAGGCTTCAAGGACGGTGGAGCCTGGTGAGGTACCTCTGGTGTAGTGGTTATAGAAGGGGCCATCCACTATGCCTTCGAGTTCTGGGTTGGAGTTGGGGTTAGTAAATGGCTTAGGCGTGTGTAGAAAATAGAGCTCACCCTCTTGGACTTTCGCGTTTATCTTTCCGTTCATGAATTGGAAGCGGTGACCACTTTTCTGTAGTAATTGGCGGATGCCTCCTGTTTGGATTTCAAAGATCTGTAGCTGGTCAGTATCTTCTATGTTAAAGCTACTGAAATGCTTACTTCGCCATTTGTGCCGGCACCGTGCAAGCAAAGAAATCGCATTGTGGTTGGATTTCGCTTGATGTCACGTAGATTGCTTTATAAAAGACTATAGTCAGACACTTCGGAATTTTTGTGTTACGTCAAGGAAAAGAAAACAAGGAGTAGAAAGTCTACAGGACAAGTGGCCGGGAGAGAGTCTCGAGAGATACAAGGGGGATCAACCTGCAGCGGGGTTTAACTAACTAGCTTGGCGGATGAATTCGACATGGTCTGATGTGAGATGCACAAAGATCCACAAAGGGATAAATGCAAGTCCACTCCGTATTGTTTCTTTACGGGCCAGGAAGGAAATCTTGATAAGATCAAGATCTGAAAAACTTCACATGCGAAGAATGGACGGCGTTATTCCTTGGCCCCTAGTCATGATTGACTTTTCCTACTTTAAATCCCCCCTGAGCTAACCTGCTTCCAACTTCTACAACCCCTCACATTCTCCAATTGGATCTGGAACTATGGATCTCCGTGATATTATAGCCACTCGTGGCTTTGCGACCTACAGCTTGCGTCATCCTCTGGAGGCACTGTCGAGCTTTGGCCCGACCTTGAATGAAGCCACTTTCGGCTATTTCGGGGCATCGTTCCAGCCAGAGCGCGACATTCGCAGCCTGGACGGCAAGGTCGTGCTTGTAACAGGAGGTACAATATATGTCTTCTTTCTATCTATCTACAGCTTCTAGAAGACTGACACCGCGATTGATTGATCTAGGCAATACCGGCCTAGGCAAAGAGACCATCCTTCAACTCGCCAAGCATCGCCCGTCACGCATCTACATGGCCGCCCGCACCGAGAGCAAAGCGCGCGAAGCAATCGAATCGCTACAAAGCCAGCTCTCCTCCCCCGCCGATATCCGCTTCCTCGCACTCGATCTGTCCTCCTTCAAATCTATCCACACCGCCGCAGACAAGTTCCAGACCGATAACGATCGCCTGGATATCCTAATCCTAAATGCGGGCACGATGGGCAACCCGCCTACTACGACGGAGGAGGGCTTCGAGGTCCAGCTCGGCACAAACCATATCGGTCACTTTCTGCTCACAAAACTGCTTCTGCCTACTCTGCAGAAGACCGCTGATCTCCAGCGTGCCAAGGGTGAGGTCCCCGATGTCCGGGTCGTGACTGTCGCTTCGGCGGCTCTCGCTGTTAGCCCTTCCACCTTTGAGGAAATTACATCTACCCCTGGCTTATTAGCTGCCAGTACCTGGACGCGTTACGGCGCTTCCAAATTAGCTAATATCCTCTTTGCATCCGAGCTAGCCCGCCGGCATCCTGATATCTTGTCTATTGCTGTGCATCCCGGAGCGGTTGACAGCGGGCTCTATAGATATGCGAAGAACCTTAACTCGACGATGAAGTATACTCTGACAGCTGTTGGTTCCACGTTCTTCCGAAGTGTCGCTAGTGGAGCCCTGAATTCTCTTTGGGCGGCTGGCACGCCAAGGGAGGATCTCATCAATGGAGCTTACTATACTCCCGTTGGGTATCGCAGTGGTGGCACTGCGCCTGCGCAGAACGCGCAATTGGCTCACAAGCTCTGGGATTGGACCGAGACTCAGGTTTCGAAGCAATGAATGGAACCATCGAGGTATATATATATGGGTGTATATATGGATGTATAATATGACTGAAATATTATCTGCGACTTAGCTTTGCTCTGCTTTTTACAATTCACATTGTTCTGCAAGGCGCGCTGCCATTCTCCCGCCTTTACGTAGCCGGAAGCATGGATTTCGATGCCGGTCATGCTGTCCTAGCCCCTAGATAAGTGCCCGGCCAATGGACGCTCCGCAAGCCCTCCCCGGAAGACCTCCTGCCACACCCAGACGCTGGAGTCCACCTCGCAGGTTACGCGCGCAACATGCTCGTCCCAGACAATGAGACCTTGCTCGAACACGTAGGGCACATACAAGATCATCCAAGCGAGATGCAAGCCGGGGATCCACGAGAACATGACCAACAGCGTATAGTGGAATGAAAATGGGTGCAAAGCGTCAGGATAAGTCCCATGTTCGTCATATACTCCGAAGACAGCCCGATTAGGGTTTAGCCGAGCACCAAATATCCCACAATCCAACAACCCTGGAACTTGCGAATAGCCAAAATCACCAGGAAGAACAACAAATAGAGTGTTATCGCGATCGAGTCGATTTGTAAAACATGTAGAAGTGTAGACGTTGAAACACAAACAGCCCGTTAACCCAAATCGGCGCATTAGCGAATATTCTGGCTAACTCCCCACACAAAACTCTTGGGGATGCATCATCATTCCACCCACTTCCACTTCACGTTTCCTCCTACCATCTCCCCCTCAACTCCTTTTTAACGGTATGCAATAGAGATTGATTGTCAGAATAATTGACTCTGCAATTCTCTCTAAATCTTGGATTTTCCCCGAATCACCAGCTAATTCCGCGCCAGGCGATCACCCCTCCCGACTTCATCATGGATCAGGCAAAGTTGGCTAGAATGCAGGCGAGCGTTCGCATCGGTATGTTTCTCTCTATTCTAAATCATATCTCAGCTTGAGATATGAACTGGGCAATGACGTGGAGTTGCGATTCTGTGGAATCGGTCGCCCTGGAGCTTGGTCATGTCTCAAGAACTGCAATTTACATGTCTTGGTGGACATTGAACTGTGCAAATTTGATAGCTAACATGATTCTTCTTGACAGGGTATGTATATTCTATCCAGCATTGTTTTTATCCCAACCTCTCGATTCCCTACGAATGAAACGAATTTTCGAATTGCAATACTCGGATTCGACACTGCCGATAGTCAGACTACGGATTCTTGATTCTCGAATCTATGCGACGCACTATATCCAAATTTCGAACCGAACATAGATATCGCATATCGCATGCCTCAGAAAATCCAGTCTGACTCTCGGCCCTGTCATCCTCGCATTCCTTCGATCTTTTCGGACCCCTCCTAATTCACATCCCCCCACCACACATTCACCCACTTACCCACACCGATACCACATTTTTCAACCGTCCAATGTCGAACTCGGACTAACAATCTTACAGTGGCAAGGGTACTCCCCGCCGCAAGGTCAAGAAGGTCGTCCGCAACTCCGGCGCCGATGACAAGAAGCTCCAGGCCGCCCTCAAGAAGCTGAACGTCCAGCCCATCCAGGGTATCGAGGAGGTCAACATGTTCAAGGAGGACGGCAACGTCATCCACTTCGCCAACCCCCGTGGTGAGTAGAAACCACCCCGAAACCCGACCTTGACCTTTTCAAAACAAAGAGAAGAAGGAAAGAAGAAGAACAAAAAAAGTCTAATCACTTCATCGCAATAGTCCACGGTGCCGTCCCTTCCAACACCTTCGCCCTGTACGGCAACGGCGAGGAGAAGGAGCTCACTGAGCTCGTCCCCAACATCCTGAACCAGCTCGGCCCCGACTCCCTCGCTTCCCTGCGTAAGCTCGCCGAGAGCTACCAGAACATGCAGAAGCAGCAGGGTGATAAGAAGGAGGACGATGAGGAGGATGACATCCCCGACCTTGTCGAGGGCGAGAACTTCGAGACTAAGGAATAAACACGCCTAGATGCGAACTAAATCGAGTCTTTAAAAACTTTCGTCTATGATCAATGAAATTTAAGCTCTGGTTTGAGAGTTGTTTTTTGTTGATTCTTTTTCTCTTTTTTTCTTCTGGCTGTTTGGTCTCTTCCTCCGGGCAGGGTTGATGCATGGGTTTATAACGTGCCAGCGTTGTTGATGCACTCGGCGACGGAAAGGGGGATGTTACTTCTGACAGCTCGAGGATTAACCACCCGAAAAGTTGTTGAAGCAGAAGTTTGAGGAATTGTACTTGTTACTGTTCTACGGGATATCAATTTTGCGCGGTCCCTCGACAGGACAGTTCATTATGTCTGCATCTGACGCAGCTATCGTACACATTATCCATTTTACCGCAAATCCATTGACCCCCATGCCTTGCGCGACGCGCGCAGTATTGTTGAGGACTGGCCCTTCAAGCTGCGTAGCGATTCGGTTTTTAGGTTCATCGCGCGCAAGACTTCGCAATTGGGGCGAAAGATCCGTGATGTAGTGAATAACAAAAGACGAAAAGGTATTCCATTTCCATAGTGCTCAATGGCCTTCATGTCGCCTCAACTATCCTCCTTCAGTCCGCACATATCCGTTCTCATGAAATAATCGAACGTATGCCAGAACCTCCAATAAATGCCAGATTTTTCCGAATCGAACGTGCCATCCTCGCGGAGCACCGGACCCTCGCCCACAATGTCACCTGTAAACCAGCTCAGGATGGGGATTGAGCGGAGGATGCGCTCAGTCATGGTCGGCTGTGGAGGGAGTGCCTCGAGCATAGGGCGCAGCTTGGTGCGACGGACAGTCGGAATATGCGTCATGAATTCGTTGTTGGCGGTGGGTTCGGCCTGATCGGGAGCTCGGCGTTGGTGGATCGAGGCGCGATCGTTACTTGACGAAGCTCCTGTCGTCCATGTTGACGAAGAAGTTGTTGTATTGAAACTGCTTTGCTGGAACGAGGGTGTGGCAGTGGCAGTTGCAGAGGTTGCAGTAGTGGATGTCATTGTATCGTCGGAGGTACCAGCGACCGTTGAAGAATCGACCGAGTGCCTTTCGTCTTCTGGCATATCCGGTACACTGGAAAGGTTGTTCATGGCAAAGGATCGAGGCAATGTCATGCGGTCCTGATCTTTGCTGGGGTTGGAGAGAAAGGCGGTCGAGTGCGAGGTGGTCAAGGTGCGCGGTGCTTTGTTGCGAATCCGACTGCTGGCAACAGAATCTGCAGGGATTGGGGCGTCTTCGGCTGGGCCGTGGCCATTGTACAGCTCGCAAAAGACCAGGTGGCCATCAATTTCCTGTGGCGAGTAGAAGCGCGCGCGGTCTGCGGACTGGGTCGAGTCGTATGTGACCTTGATCCAGTGGTATCCACCGGCATAGCGCTTCGACTTGCGATTTGCATCAGCCGACAGGTTTCGGATGACGACGTCACCCCCGCTCAATAGATGGGTGTAGTTGATCGATGAATTCGGGTCGTTGCGAGGGTAGTCTTCGCAGATCGTGCCTTGGGAGATGCGCTCAAATTTTTCGATCACCTTCCACTCGTTGTCCTTGTTTTTGTACCCATAGAGTATGCATTCGGTTGCGACCTTCTCTGTTTGCTTCCGTGGATTGTCAAGACTGGATGATGATGATGACTTGGGCAAGCCGTGTGTTTTCTCGGCCTCCTGTTGTTGCTGTGAGAATAGTCGACCAAACTCAGCAACATTGGGGTTCTCGCGCTTTGCTGGTGTTCCAGTCCGTGTTCGTGAGCGAGCATTATCGTATCGAGCATTTCTTCTCTTGCCGAATGGTCCTGATTCTTCGGGTGGTCGTCGAGGGTTGCGAGATTCACTGAGACATATTTGTTAGCTTCGGTAAAAGAGGAGCTACACGATACATTGAACATACTCTTTGTAAACATAACCCCAAGGGAGGAGGTTGCCATCTTCGTCTCTAGCACGTTCCTCCGGTGGGACGGAGTGGTACTCCATGACGGTAGATGGGATGCAGTCAAGAGGTTGAGTAAATGTGGAGTCAATATGTGTGCGGAAGTAAGAGTTGAATAAAGGGAGGTTCTGCGAGATGAATGCGCGAAAGAATAAATTTGTCGGGCATCGAGGGAGCCAAAACTTTTGGTAAACACTGGTTCGCCGGGCTACGGTCACGTGGGGGCCATATAGCTACAGGCACATTCTTTGACTTGCACACTTTTAGTTGAAGACAGTCATATTGCTCCTGTGACCTTTACCTCCATTAGTTCGAACTCATAGCATCCCTTAACCGAAACGACTCTTCGTAACTTCAACCTTATAGTACTGATGGACTTGTTATTTTCCTATTTATGTGCATTCTCCAGCACTTTGGCGACTTCGGTCTTATTGAGCATTTTAGAAGCAGTACGACCATTTGCATCTCTTATGTCAGATCAAAGATGCCAATGCGATAGATTGAACCACGGACGAAGAATCAGACCCTTGCTAAATGAGAAGACTTACAGTAACAGTGAAAAGAATCATTGGGATCTTCTAAAGTCGAGCGGTAGTCATGGTCTGCTAATATGTTTTTATATCTGCACAAGGAAACTATCAATAATTCATGAAAGACATCACTGCATAATGTTAAATCAAAAATGCAAATCTCTGGCTACATGATTCAAAAATCCTCATCTATATCCCAATGTCACATTGCCGCCTCGGCAGCGACACTGAATGCATGCACACTTCCTCGGGGCTGGAAAGCCGAAGAGTTCTGATGACTCTTGCTGTCACTCGCTACTAGTTCATCGTTGGATGCCTTACCCCAGCCACCACCTCCAGGTCTAAATCAAAAGAATTGTCAGCATATATATTCAGATGAAGGAGGAAAGATGTAGACCACTCACGTATGAATCAGAATCCGCTCCCCAGGTTGGACCATAAGCTCCATCTTGCCACCAATATTGATCATTCTCTCCGTTCCGTCGAGCTCCTTCTTGAGGTAAAGATTCAAGCCTGCTTGTCCGGACTCACCTCCCGCCAACCCATACGGACGGTAAACGCGCCGTTCACTTAGCATAGACACCGAAAGAGGCATGCGGAACTCCAGCTCACGGATAACACCATCTCCACCGCGGAAGCGACCAACACCGCCAGAGCCATCTCGGATACAAAACCTGCGGAGGATGACCGGGTACCGTAGCTCGTAGACCTCTGCATCTGTGATGCGTGTGTTTGTCATGTGGACATGCACGCCCGACGTGCCATTCCAGGATGGTCCAGCACCTGAGCCGCCGCAGATTGTCTCGCCAACGCCAAATCCAGGTACCTCAATGCCGGTCTTGGGATCGACGCCACCCATACCAAATGAGATGATGTTGCAGCAGCCTTGTGAAGCAGCACAGGCATTGAATGCACCAAGAACGACATCTGTAATACGCTGCGAGGTAATAGGATTACCGGCGCAGACGGCGGCATGCCCAGATGGATTGAGAAGTGTACCAGAGGGAATTATCACATTGACCGGGGCAAGACAGCCCTGGTTGAGGGGAATATCAACATCGATCAGCGCCCGCAGACTATAGATGATAGCTGAGTGGGCGATGGCTTTAGGGGCATTGAGGCAGTTGAATGTTTCCCGGCCCGTGCCTGTAAAGTCGAAGTCGGCAGACCCAGTCTCGGAATCAATGCGAATTTCCAGCTTGATCTCGGTGCCGTCGTCCATGAAGTCAGAGAATCGGAGAGGAACGCCGTTGTTCTTACGACCAATGGACTTGAGCAGTTCACGGACAGCAACCTCCGCGTTGCGCTTGATCGCGTCCATGTAGAAGTGGACTACTTCCAATGTGTTCTCGATCACCAGAGCTTCCAGGAGCTGTGCACCCTTGTGGTTTGCTGCAATAGCAGCCTTCAAATCTGAAACGTTGTCGTTGTATGTCCGGGTGCCACTGCAATCGGGATACGAAGCGGGCTCATCATATAGGAACTTCCGGACTATCTCCTCATCAAAGCGGCCTTCTGATACCACCTTGAAGCCCATTGTCATGGCACCTTCCTCGTACAGCATTTTGCTGTTTGAAGGCATAGATCCCGGGGCGATGCCGCCAATTTCAGCTGCTTTTGATTAGCATGACACGACAAATAGTGAAATAGTGAAGGGAAATGAGAATAATTCATGCTTACCATGGTGACCACGGGAGGCAACATAGAAGACAATGTTTTTGCCCTCACCATCCCAGACTGGAGTGATAATAGTAATGTCGGGAAGATGTGTTCCACCGGCAAGAGGATGGTTGGTGAGAATGTGATCGCCAGGCTTCAAATTGCCTCCGAATTTCTCATGCTGATACCGGACAGCATACTCCATACCTGAAGAAGAAATTAGCATGAAGTTCTCTTGGTCAAAAGAGAATTTTTCTAAATGGGGATGACTTACTTCCTAGATGTACTGGCACATTCGGCGCGTTTGCAACCAATTTTCCATCGGGAGAGAACACGGCACAGGAGAAGTCCAGTCGTTCTTTGATATTTGTTGACACGGAGGTTTTTTGGAACATGCGACTCATCTGATCAGCGACGGACATGAAGCGATGACCAAAGATAGACAATCTGATAGGATCCACGACTGTTGCATCCGCAGTCTGCTTCTTCGAAGATTGAACATCCAAGATCACATGCCGGGACAGAATTGTAGCAGTGGCATTTGGCTCAACAACAATAGTTTGAGTTTTATCAATGATCATCGCAGGACCCTCAAGGACATATCCCGGTTGCATGTTATCCAGGAAGAAGACCGGCGTAGCGACTTCACCGACGCCGGCAAAGTAGACAGAAGATGAATCATCCTGCTTCTCTGGGCCCACGGGCTTTTTGCTGACTGATTTGAGTTCTTGTTGAGGTGCCTCTGGCGCAATAGAGGTTGCCTTTCCAACGCCTCGGACTCGGATATCTTCGACGAGAATGTTACGACCGGGGAATGTGAAAGAAAATTCGCGCTCGTGCTCTTTGACAAACTCAGCAATAAAGTCTCCGTGTTCAGGTTCGAGCACCATCAGCAAGTTGTCGGTACCCTGGTATCGCAGATTGAGGTAAATCTCATGCTGAATCTGAGTTTCATCAATGCCGTCCGTGGTTAACGCAGTAGTGACCTTTGACTTCAACGCAGCGATACGCTTAGTGATGCTTTCCATGGCTGTCTGATCCAGCACTCCTGATGCTGGCTCTTGAGCCTCGTGAACAACATCCGCAAGAGCCATGCCGTAGGCAGAGAGAATAGACGAGAATCGATGGATGATGACAGTTCCAATAGACAACGAAGAGGCAATGGCGCAAGCATGCTGTCCTCCGGCACCACCGAAGCAGGCCAGGTTATGCGCGGAAGTATCGTACCCACGTGCCTCTGTAAGGGCTCGGATAGGCTTTGCCATAGACTCGTTGGCTACTTGAATGAAGCCCAACGCGATCTCTTCCGGGGACTTGTTTTGTCCGGTTTCAGCATTGATCTGCTCTGCGAGCTCCGTGAACTTCTTCCGCGTGATTTCGACATCGAGGGCTTCGTTCTCGTTCGGGCCGAAGATCTTAGGGAAGTATGCTGGAAGAAGGCGGCCAAGGAAAAGATTGGCATCAGTCACAGTCAAAGGGCCTCCTTTGCGGTAACATGCTGGCCCTGGGTGGGCACTTGCAGACTCGGGACCAACTGCAAACAATCCATGTCGCCAGAAGAGAATACTACCACCGCCGGCAGCTACCGTATTGATGTCTAATTGGGGTGCCATCACTGTGACACCGGAGATATTGTTCTCGAAGGTGTGTTCCAGCTTTCCGTCATATCTGGAGACGTCTGTGCTAGTACCGCCCATATCGAATCTGGAAAGTTAGTTGATGATCCCCTCATAGAATAAGGTAAATTTAGACTCACCCAATGACAGGCTTTCTATCTGTCTCATCGAATGAAGTTCCCGCGTATCCCACAACACCGCCTGCTGGGCCAGACAAGATCGCACGAAGACCAGTGAATCTATAAGAGATTAGTAAAATTTCTTTTCTACATTCCTAGTAATTGAATGTCAACATACTTTTCAAAATTAGCCAAACCGCCATCACTCTGCATGAATTCGCAGCGTGTATTGGCAGAGCTCAGTCCGTCCTTGAAACCCGAGCGGAAGCCTTGAATATAACGCTGAATGACTGGCGTCAAGTACGCATCTGCCGTAGCCGAAGCACCACGAGATGTCATCTTAATCATGGGCAAGAGTTGGCTAGAAAGGGAGATCTGAGTGAATCCGATTTCCTTGGCAATCTTCTCAATTGCAAGTTCATGGTCTTGGAATGTGTATGAGTGAACCAAACAGACCGCGATAGAGCGATAGCCCTTTTCATACAGCTGCTGAAGGCTCTGCTTTGTACGTTCCTCGTCAAGAGGCTCCAAGACGCGAACCACTTCTCCACTAACACCTTTTTTCAAACAGGCATCTGATTGCAAAGGCTTTTGCAGACTCTCTTTGTCCGGGGTGGGATTCTGTTGATAATCCTCAATTGTGACACGCTCATCAATCTCGACCACATCCTCATACAAAACATCAGGACGTTGGATGTTGAGTGCAAACAGCTTTGGTCGAGACTGGGTTCCAATACGCAAAGCATCTTTGAAGCCCTTTGTGATCAAGAGTGCATGACGTTCTCCCTTGCGCTCGAGCAAAGCATTGGTAGCGACTGTTGTTCCCATGCGGATGCTAACATCCGAGAAGTCGGCAGTTGTGAGTTTTTGATCGCGGGGAAAGGTTTTGCCTGTTGCTTGCTCCAGAATACGCCGGATGCCCTCAATCGGAGCATCGGCATAGTTGGCTGGATCCTGCGAAAGCAGTTTGACGACGATTTCCTCATCGCGACCATCAACAATACCTAGACAGTCGGTGAAAGTACCACCACGATCTAGAAGGGATATTAACACCTTGCTATATCATATGAATTATAAAGTTGCAAGTGACTCACCGATGGCGATCTTGATGCTTGGGGCACCTAATTGGGTAGACATGATATGGGATATGTTCAGATACCCTGAGAACGCAAGGACCAAAGCTTCCTTTTATGAAGCTCCATTAGCTCCATTAGAACTAATCAGCAGGTCGAAGCGAAGTAACTTGACGAAAAAAAGAACGCCACAATCTAATCCACCGGCTGGTGAACACCGAGATAGAGCGGGGAGAGGAACGTGGAGATGCGCTTATCAGTCGGTCCGACCTTCCTGGCGCACCCAAACTTTCGTTCACTTCACTTTCCATGATAACCGTCTGGGTAACCTTGGACCTATCTTTCACTCTGATGTTCCAAAGTATAAAACCATCCCAAATGACTATCTCCTTCGTTTTCGATGTGTACGCATCCCTTTCTACCTCCTGATACAGATACACCCTTTTTACTATGGCAGACGAAAAACATACCAACCCTCCCGAGATTCAACTCGCCCTTGATCACGAAAAGGCCCAAGAAGGAGAAATCCTTGAAGCCCAAGAGAAAACCAACGGCAAAGATGTTGCGGCACACTTCCTCGCTCACCTGGACCCTGCCATTGCGGTGGAACCTGTCACCGAGGCCGAAGCGCGCCGTGTGCTTTGGAAAATCGATCTGATCCTCATTCCCTTGATCATGGTGACAGTGGTTCTCGCCGCTATTGATAAAGTCATCATCTCAAATGCGGCCATCTACGGCATGAAGACAGATACCCACTTGACCGGCGATCAGTACTCTTGGGTAGGCTCAATCTTCTACTTTGGATACCTTGCCTTTGAGTACCCTACAGCGTTACTCATTCAGCGGCTTCCTGTGGCTAAATTGTATGTGGGCATGGTCCTGGGCTGGGCAATTCTGCTGTTGTGTACTGCGGCAACGCAGAACTTTGGGGGCCTAGCCGCCGTGCGCTTCTTAATGGGCATGACGGAAGCCGCCGTGTTCCCAATCTCCAGCATTTTGACTGTCATGTGGTGGAAGACAAGCGAGCAGCCTCTTCGTGTCGCATTCTGGTTCAATCAGCTCTCCTCCGTCTTCTCGGGCTTGATCAGCTATGGTATCGGCCAAACGAACACGTCGGTAGGACCCTGGAGATTGCTCTTCCTTGTGCTAGGTGGATTTTCCGTCCTTTGGTCCGTCGTTTTGTACATATTCTTGCCCGATTCGCCCGTGCAATGCTGGTACTTCTCGGACCGCGAGAAGTTCGTCTGCCTCGAGCGCGTCAAAGACAACAATACCGGCATGGAAGACAAAACCATCAAGTGGTACCAAGTGCGCGAGTGTTTACTCGACCCCAAGACTTGGCTTCTGGCGCTGTTTTCGCTGGCCCAGAACATCCCCAATGGTGGTCTGGTGACTTTCTCGGCTATTATTGTGAAGGGTCTAGGGTACTCCTCATTGATCACCACCGTCCTTGGTATCCCCACCGGTGTGCTTGCAACGGTTTGGCAGATCATGCTGGGCTTCCTAGCTGCTAGCGTGCCCAACTCCCGTTGTACCATTATCGCCCTGGCCAACTTGGTCCCCATGATCTGCGCTATTCTGATGTGGAAGCTGCCGCGTGAGAACCAGCATGGGCTTCTGGCGGCATACTATGTCTTCTACACCTACTGGGCGCCGTACGTGTTGTCAACTTCACTTCCAATGGCCAATACCAGTGGCCATAGCAAAAAGTTGACCATGAACGCCATCTTCTTCTTGGCGTATTGTATTGGCAATATCATTGGTCCCCAGTGTTTCCGTTCCGATGATGCACCATCCTACTCTCGAGGATATGAGGGTCTTCTGGCCTGTCTTGTTGTGGCTATAGTTGCCATTATTTCCTATGGGGCTCTTTGCCGATGGGAAAACTACCGCCGTGACAAGGAAGCCGAGTCAAATGTGGAGATATCCGAAGCTGCATTCTCGGATCTGACTGATAAAGAAAAACGCTCTTTCCGGTATACTTATTAGGATAGTGAGCCTTGGGATGTGTGTGGAGATGTGGGTTACTGTTGATAAGGATACTGTATGGATAGAGTGGCAAATGTACGCAATGGAATGAATGGCAATTCTGATATACATGTACCCTTTGAACCAGGAATTAGTCAATATTTTATCATATCACTCTGAAATAAGCCAAGATTGTCTATCTCTTCTAGAGGACAACCTATGATTCAGAAGAAACTCGATATTCTAGACCTAGACCCGTAGACCGTTAAAACGTCTATAGGTTAATAAGTATGATACCTGTGTATCTATAAGCTCTCAGCATATCCAAGTAAGAAGTTTGTCACGAATGATCTAGTTATTAGTGGACACTTTGTACGATTAGCCAATTTTCTGCGATATCAGCCATTCATTTCATTGTCGCCCGAGAGAACGTTGTTATCTTTGGCATACTTCCTTCCATCCCAGAGCCACGGAAACAAATAAGATTAAGCACCTGGGCAATCTTTGAGTTGGGGGAAATGCTGGGGTAAAGGTAAAAGAATGCAGGTCGAAACGAGCATCCACTCGGAGATTCTCCGAGTATCTCCGGGCAGTGAGACCTTTATCGGAAGGTCGGAACGAAGCAGTCGATTATTTCCCCGCACACGAGACCATCTCCATGATACCTTTGATTGTTCATGAGGAAGCTGGTAGCGAAATCAGATTCTCCGAAAGAAGGCGGAAATGCCTCAATAAATATGGCGACGCCACCCTCAAAGTTTGAGAAGTCAAACCTAGTCACCACAACAATCCAGCTCACATGATGGAAAAAGACACGCGAATCCTCATTGTCGGTGCCGGCTGCTTCGGCATTTCGACCGCATACCACCTTTCACAGCGCGGCTACACCTCCATCCGCGTGCTCGACCCATACGCACCCCCCTCCTGCGAAGCAGCCTCCACCGATATCAGTAAGATCATCCGCAGCGATTACAACGAACCGCTATACGCACGTCTTGGAATTGAATCTATCGAAGCGTGGCGGTCTTGGCCGCTGTTTCGTGGGCTCTATCATGTCCCCGGGTGGATCCTGAGCGCAGCGAACCTGTCCCGGCCCTTTGTCGAGGGTTCGATTGAGACATGCAAGAAGCTTGGAGTACAGGGTCTTGAGAAGCTCACGCCGGACCAGATCCGTGCTCGCTGGTCTGTTGTCACGGGCAAGCTGGACGGGTGGAATATCAATGTGTGGAACCCAACAGCCGGGTGGGCAGCTTCTGGTACAGCCATCGAGCGGATGGCAGGCGCTGCTCAGGAGAAAGGGGTGGAATATATTTCGGGGGACACAAAGGGGAGGGTGCAAGAGTTGATACTAGATGATATCACGGGCGAGTGCAAGGGAGTCGTCACTGCGGATGGCACGAGACATGAGGCGGATGTGGTCATCCTAGCCGCAGGCGCGTGGACACCTTCACTGCTAGACGTGAAGGACCAGTTGACTGCCAAGGGACACAGTGTCGCTCATATCCAGCTCACCCCTTCTGAAACGAAACACTATGCCTCAATGCCCATTATGGATAACCTCGAGCTGGGCTACTTCTTCCCACCTCTTGAAGATGGGATATTCAAGATGGCTCACAGTCAATTCATCACCAACGTGCAAACCACCAAGTCTGGTATCACCACTTCTGTCCCACACACCTTCGTGCAGGCACCCACCGATGGCCTCCCTCTCGAGATCGAAGCTCAGATGCGCCGGAATTTACGGCGCGTGTTTCCCGAGCTTGCAGACAGACCCTTCTGCTATACACGGCTTTGCTGGGATGCTGATACAGCTGATCGGCATTTCCTTGTCACGCCTCATCCCACTCATCAAAGTCTCTTCCTGGCAACCGGTGGCTCAGCACATGGGTTCAAGTTCCTTCCTGTCGTTGGGAAATATGTCGCGGATTTGCTCGAGGGAACTCTTGACCCAGATATTGTGCGTCAATGGAAATGGAGGGCTGGACAAAAGAGTACTGCGAAGAACCTAGCGCACTTGGATCCGGAAATGGAGTTGAGCGACCTTACAGGGTGGAAGGGTAGACATACACATGAAAGAAGCCATGCTTCTAAACTATGATTTGTCTAAATGAAAGGTGCAAGAAGTCGAACAATTAAACACAGTTTGACTGCGGGCTATACAAATTGAGACCATCCCTCAAATAATATATACAAGAACATAATAAAACCCTTCATTACCCACATAAAAGCTCATGTCAAGCTGAGCTTCCACCCACCCAGCATGACCATAGCATGCTCCCACGAAAACCGGCTCTCTTGCAGGGGATCATTCTGCCGCTGTGCATTAAGCTTCTTCTGGAGTTTTCTTTCATCTTGCACCGACAGATCCCGCTGGCGCCAGACCATTTCGACAACTTCAATCGCAGGGGTAATGTTCTGGGGAATAATAATGTTAGTCAATCAACTAGAAAGAGACAGAAGATTATACATACCCCAAATCGACGAATACCCTCCAGCTCTTTAAACAACTGCAACACAATGACCCTCTCCTCTTCCCTGCAGGCACAGCACCCCGCCAAGAAGAGAGGCCATAAAGGCGTAGCTGCAGTTCGCATCATATTTCCCTTCTTTTCCAACATCAGGGTCAATATCCGTTCAACATAAACATTCTTCTCTTCGGATTCCAATGTCGGGATACCGGAGCGATTAATCGGAGCTTTGGTCGAACAGATTTCGTGCAGAAGAAGAAGGGCACCGAGCCTGTTTGCCTCTGCGATTGCCGCACACTCCATGTTCGGATCGATATGCTCTGTGGGTATCCTTTGTTGAAGACTATCGAGGTCCGTCTTGAGTTGATGAACATCTTTACGGTTGATTTTTATGTTGCCATCCTCACGAGACCACGCTAGTTCGGCTACTTGATCGATCATCAATAAGAGAGCGGGGCTCAATCCCATGTACGGATCGATGATGTCTGATTTTTCCAGTATACTGTCCGGCAAGAGAGGCGATATATGGGATGGGGCAGGGGTGAGCCGAAACGCAGTGCGGGCTAGAACTAAATGGAAGACGAAATAACGATTGAAGAAACTTGCCAATTCTTGACTGTGACATGAGCGACCGGGGCGTTCTTTTCGTGTCCGCATTAAATTTTGGAATCCGTTGAGGTGGGTGACCCATGAAGGGCGACTGCTGTCTGATATCTGCAACGGAATTAGGAGATTCTCATAGTAAAGGAAGCAAGGCATAATCTTACATCGAACCAGCATAACATCAAGACCAGCCCAAGCATTTCATCCAGCTCATTTTCCGTCCAGCTATCTTGATTCAGTAGACCGCGCAGGTGATTTAGTGCCCGGTGATGATGTTCCAATGCCGGAAGCCGGTATCGCTGATCCGACAACTTGAGGGTATTGGCTGAGATGGCTAGAGCAGCGTGGTATAGTCCCTCAGACTGTAGGGCCATAGGGAGTATGAGATATCGATATGGATTGTAACTTGCGCTATCGACGAGAGTTGAGCTGCTGCAGATGATGTGTTCGAAATAAGACATAAGCACCGGATCGCAATCTGATCGCTGGCCAGGAGCTATGGTATTCAGCCAAGGCGACAACGGGCTTGGTTGAGAAATTGGCTTCATGCCTTTGTAATTGGGCTGGGTACCATCGAAATGGATCTGGAGATCGGTCATTGTCGTGTTCAGAAACATCCAAGTCCGGTCGGCCGTATGCTCCGTCCATGGCGATGATGTATCTTCTACTTGTTCCAGTTCCCTCTTTCGAATATCTTTTCGCTTGGACCATACCCCTGCTCTTCCATGACAGATGCCTCGGGCTAAAGATTCCTCGTGCCAGACCAGACGAAGTCCGTATCCGCATGGGGCATTGTTACGGGCGCAACGACGGCAAATTGGATGGGTTTCTAACCAAGATTTCAGTTAGGACTGTGTTGATGCAGGACTTGATGGGAAATTACCGTCACATTTGATACGTCGTGCACGACATGTCCAGCAACCTGTACGAGCTCTCGAAATTGCAGTCATTGTTCAACGTCTACCCCGCATGAGTGGAGGAGCAGCTCCCCTGTTATATGTGAGCCAAGGAGATAAGTGTCTCTGTATTTATTGGCATTCCTATCTTTGTTGGTTTCTATTCGCTGCGATATTGGAATACCCACTTTGGTGTTTATCTAAAGGGTTTGGTGGTGGCAAAAGGGGCTTTGGATAAGGAATCTAGAGTCTCCTACTAGGCTAGAGGTAGCTTATTGATGCTAAGATGATTGAACAGACGGCAAATGCTATAAAAACAGCTATTGCAGGCTTCGGTGTATATCTAAACTGGATAGTTATAGACTACATAGTAGATAGAACCCCAACTGTGCATATTAGCATGGCCAAACCCGACGTTTCAACGAGAATATCCAGTTCCTAGTTTTCAGATCGGCATACTCTACGGAGTAGATATCTTCGACATCCAGGAAAGGGAAATGGCGATTCTATTTCCTAATGCAATAATAATGCACTTCGGCCTCGGGGAGCGTACAAATCTCACCCCGAGACTCATTTCGCGACCATAAAAATCTCAAGGTCAATCTAAATTAACCAAACGGAATCATGCATGATATATTTATAAAATGAACTGCAGTCTTAGACCAGGGTCCTCAGGAGGTCATGTTCAACACGGCTGTGTGAGTATTCCCCATAACCTCGTCTTCCTCCCACCTCTCCACATCTCTACAGCTCACCATGGGTTTCAGCACTACGGCCGAGTTCGATCAGGTAAATCTCATCCATATACTATTTGATATCACCCCTCACATTTTCTAGGCGTATCAAATTGTACAGGGTACTTTTGCATCTGGCACCACCAAGAGCAAGGAATGGAGACGTCGTCAACTGAAACGGGCTTGGTGGATGATTGAGGACAACAAGACGCGCATCTGCAACGCTCTCTATATCGATCTACACAAACACTATCAAGAAGCCTACATCGGCGACTGCGCTAATATCCAAGCGGATATTCTACGCACCCTCAAAAAACTGGATGAGTGGACGAAGGATGAAAGACCGGAAAAATCCGATCCTCTCAACTTCGTAGGAAGAGCCACTGTCCGCAAGGAACCTCTTGGTGTGACTCTGATTATCGGCGCATGGAATTTCCCCGTCAGTCTGCTCCTGCAGCCAATGGCTGCTGCGATTGCTGCTGGGTGTGCCGTCATTCTCAAACCATCGGACGTAGTATGTGCCACTCAAGATGTCCTGATGGAAATTATTCCCCAATACATGGACCAAGATGCGATCCGGTGTATTTCCGCTGGCCCACAAGAAATGGGATATATCCTTGAGCATCGCTTTGATCACATTTTCTACACTGGATCTCCCAATATTGCCAAAATCATCCATGCAGCAGCAGCAAAGCATCTGACTCCCGTCACACTTGAATTGGGTGGTCAATGTCCTGCTATTGTCGCAGAATCGGCGAATCTCGATCTCGCCGCAAAACACATTGCCGTTACTAAATTCATGAATGCTGGACAGGTAGGCTCACACCATTCACGTTCCAGTCATCAACTAACTCGTCTCGACTGAACACAGGTTTGCTTGAATGTAAACCACGTTCTAGTCCACCCAAGTGTACGAGAACGCCTTGTCGCTGATTTGATTCGATACTTTGACACGTTCCTAGGAGGCAAAGCCGACAATGCAGAGCATTACACCCACATCATCAACCAGCGTAACTTCGACCGCCTTGACAATCTACTTCAACAGACCTCCGGAAAAATCGTCTATGGTGGCCAGCGGGATCGTCAAAGTCTGTACTTCGCACCAACAATCATCACCGGCGTTAAACCCGGCGATTCCCTTCTCTCCGAAGAGCTTTTCGGCCCGATTCTCCCCATCATTGATGCAGACTTCGATACTGCTCTCTCTCGGACGCGTTCAGGAGAGCATCCACTCGCGATCTACGCATTCACTACTCAAGAATCCGAAAAGGCTCGCATCTTGAACGAAACCCAGTCCGGAGGCGTGACCTTCAACGACTGCGGTCTCCATATAGCTGCTCGCGATGTGCCATTCGGTGGTGTTGGGAACTCCGGCCATGGTCGCTATCATGGCCCGCACGGTATCTTGACTTTCTCTCATCTCCGTACGCATATCAACGCCGTGCCTTCATGGTTGGAGGGGCTTCTCGCTGCGCGGTATCCCCCCTACTCGGTTCAGAAGGCTCACAAAATGATGGCACCCGTCACCCCGCCATTTGATCGGGATGGCAATGATACGACTTTCGCTCACTCAAAGTGGGCCTTTGGCGTTGGGATTCTCGCGCTCTCTGTATTGTTTGTGACTCGGTATCAGATTATCGCTTTCGGTTCCAAGTGGCTCAAGTAATTATACTTATATTATATGTGTAGCAAATGGAGCTGGTCTTATCTTTTCTGCGGCTTTGTATAAGATCATAGGTGGAATTATTTTTCGCTTTTGCGGGGAAGCTCTGAAGGATTCAGGGAGGGGTATAAATCGGCAATGCTGAGGAATTACCGGATGCCGATCACTAAAGATAAGGGTGAGAGTAGTGTAAGATGGCGAGAATACTTGAATCATTCTCTGGATAGCAACCGGCATATTCGGAGATCACGGCGAAATCACCGGGGTCTGAATGTTTGGATATCGCTGAGATAAACATAATATGCTAGGCATCGGCAGTGTCAATGCAATCGACCTGACGAGATATGCCGAAAGCCAAATTGAAAATGCTATAAATACAGCAAAGGCACAGGGGGAAGTTGAGCGAAAGAAATTGAGCTTCTTTCGCAAGTCACTCTTTGCCTGCCATTTTCATATTGCCAACACATCATGAAGCTATCACTGGTCCTTCTGGGATTCAATGCCGTCCATAACACCGGGATCGTCTCTGCTGCTCCACTAGACAGCTGGTCATCCAGGTTTGGTGCGTCATCGCACGCGGTGGAAATGTTCAATGCTGCTATTGAATGGAATGACAAATACTGGGACAACGAGACCGGCTATTTGATCACCTCAACCAGTAGTCCGGGACGCTATGATAGTCGGCATACAGCCTGGTATGCACCTCAGTTGCTAGCCAGAAACGGACCCGGTGATGTTGCAAAAGCCGTCCGCATCTTCGACAATGTCATCTCTGGTCAATATGTCGATCCGTCTAAACAGTGGTATGGGGATTATCAACAAGCACCTTCAGAACCGGAGCCTGGGACACTGAAATATCCCAATGATGGCCCATACAGCTCGGTAAGCTGATTATGCCTAGTCTAATCCACTATTTCGCTAATATAATTATGGTCAGTGGGATCCAAACATCCGCGATTTTGTAGGATGTGCCTGGATTGTGGCTTTGAATGATTACGGCCATCTCCTTCCAGCAGCGACGGTCTCCAAGGTGGAAAAGTCCCTGCAGATCGCAGCCAAGGGTGATCTCTATCGTGTCGGGGGAGTTGATGGCGACAATTCTTACCCTTGTTACTCCAATCCCTGGTTGATGCGAACCATTCTCCAAAACTGGGTTGGTGCACGAGTCGGAGATGCAAACTTAACCAGCTCTGGTGAGAAATTCGCACAGGAAATCTACGACCTCTGGAGTATGCACCACACATTGTCTGAATTCAATTCTCCGACATACGCTGGTGTTGCCATGTGGGCACTGGCGCTCTGGAACCAGTATGGGACAAGTGACAGCTTGTTGAAGAAGTATGGACCGGAGATGCTCAAATACAGCTGGAATGAACTCGCTCAGCTTTATAATGCGAATCTGAAGAATGTTGCTGGCCCTTGGGATCGCTCATATGGCTACGATATGAAGGAGTATGCATCTCTTATTGGTGCTGTTATTTGGGGTGTTATTGGCCGCGAACAAGCCCCCGTCCCTCAGCAGGAGCTGGGGATGTTTCATCAAGATGATTTGGCGTTATATCCTCTATTCGCCCTGTCAATGCCTGAAATGGTGAAATCGCTACCTGCAAAGGCAAAGGAAAATTTGCTCAAATTCCCTGGCGAGCATATGTATACCTCGCAGGCTTACTCGCCGCCCTTTGATACTTATCCTCGCAATATCACTGCTTGGATGTCCAAGAACGTGACTATTGGTGCAGAAACTCTTGCCGAGACAGTTGTCGGGGGTCCCAGTATCAACCCCAGTCAATTCAATCCTGCAGTCATCCAGTGGGCTATTGATGATCATGAAATTGGCTGCATTTCCCATTGGGTTACAGAATCATCTATTCATGCTGTGGCCGCCCCTCGGTCTTTGAATATCTCATATCCAAATGCAACATCTACACACGGTCCTGTTTCTTTCAACTTCTTGTTCAGTGGCCTCACAGTCAACAACGGGTTCAATGTGACTGGACTAGAAGGTCTACCTGGTTTGAACATCAAGGTCTTGACAAACGCGCAACCTAAATATACGATCACTTACAACACCGATCACTCTGTCAACGAATTTGTATTTTACAACATCACATATACGATGCCTGAGGGTTTCATCGGGGTACCATTTGTGTCTCTTCGAATATTCTGAGCGTGTATATGAATAAGATATCGTGCTCTTCAGTGTTCAATGTCAATGTCAATTTTATGCCCTAAATAATTCAGAATACAGAATCACATGTCCTCTAAACTCCGAGAAATTCGCAAACATTACTCGTCCTTTTTCTCCTCCTTGGGCTCATCCTCTACATCGTCTGACTCCGAATTTGTCTGAGAAAGCCAAAAGCGTGCAATTATGCCACCCAAGAATCGCCGATCAATCCATTTGACCAACCCATAGAGGATCCAACCCCAGCCCCACAGAGACATGCCCATCATGCTTGTGACCAACAACACCGGACCAAGAATGAGCAAGGACAGAATAGCCCAGAGCAATATCGACACCGCAGCAAAGACAAACACGCCAGCCAAGAACACCAGTAGAGGAACTCCACAGCAAATCATTTGGCAAACGATTAAGGTTGTTGCGGCAGGGCGCTTCAGTGCAGCTTCATATAACGCAGCCTGGCGGGGTGGAGGGAGGAGCCAGGCGACCAGTCCCTGAATGTAGGACTCGAGATAATCAAAGGCGCGAGGGAATAGTGTAGAGAACCATGCTGTTATGGTGGACCATATCGATGAAAACGAGAGATCATTGTCGATTCCCTCGCCTTTTGGGGGAGCATCGTCGGAAGGAAATTGACCTGGGAGGGCAGGGTCGGTCAAGTCCTTCGTCGTTCGGTGGAGCTTTTTTGGTACGCTCTTCTTGACCACTCCGCTTGTTGTTGATTGGGCCTGGTCGGCAGGAAGCTGTCCAGTCACGCCGCCGGTGACATTATCGAGTGGCATTGTGAGGATAGGTATATGTTTGCGATCGATGAGAGTGTAGGATAGAAGTTTTATTCCAGCAAAGATTAGTTGGAATCTACGTTCAAGAAAACAACAGATATTCGGAAGATCTATATCGACAATCAGGTTAACATGACATGACGTATGGGGCGTTCTGCCAACTGCTTTGCGCCGATATTAATTATGCGTCACATGCGATCCATAACTAGTTAGTTACAGCATACATATTTTATATAATAACATCTAACACCGTGTGAGATTGTTGGGCAGTAAATCGATAACTTTGTAGAGGATTCTTAGAGCATTAGATACTTTATATAACGATCCTCCCTAGAAACGAACAGAAACCATTTCATCAACTATTTCTGTAGGGAAATATGGGTAATAGTATGATCATAAAAAAAGCATGCTACGGATCATTGGTCAGAAGTGCCATCGCGATCGTCAAACATCATAAAATCGGCATCATCAACTTCATCTCCTACGACTATCTTCCAAGCCTCTTTTACAAGGTCGAATGTGTCATCTTCGAATGCCAAGTCAAGGCTCGACGGAGGGAAACGGTAGCCGTCAGGAACTCCATCCCCGACCGTGAGATGCCGGGGCTCACCATTGCTGATACAGCCGCTATGGGTATATCGCAAGGACCACAGCACGTTGGCCGAGATACCTTCTGCCCGAATTAGTCTATCCACAGCAGACTCGATAAGAGCTTGGCCTTCCGGCCCAGGTAGTGCCACACTGCAATAGATAACACCTGTGACATGCAATTAGCCATATGAACGACAATATTGCTGAAGAAACAAATTTGGAGAGTGCTCGTGATCAGGTGAAAAGGTTTTCAACATAGCAAGTTCAGGCAATGTAGATAAGTTTTTGAAAAAAATCATCATACGAGCGGGCGGGAGGGGATATCATGCTGGACTGTATAGGGAATGACTTACTCTGCTGCTGTGGACACTCGCCAGTGTCGCTCGAATGAACCTGGAGATAGACCGGCGGCGAATTTGGGCTGCCCAACGTATCCCCTGGAAACATGAGAACTGCAGTTGCGGGCACAGGAGCACCCTCAACTGTTAGAGGGAAAAGAGACGGGAAAGTAGCCGACACAACGCTGATCGAACGGGCAACCTCGACCAAGGGTGTTGACCTCTCTTTAGAACAGGCATCCGACATCGAGGTAAACAAGTATTTCGCCTGAACAGACCCTTCATTGGCCAGTTCCAACAGAAAACGGTACTCGGAATGTTCAGAGCCTGTGCGCCATAAGCAATCATTAACCTGCGTATCCAGGGCATATACACCGCCCCCCACAGCGGATGCCCGACAGGCAGCTTGCAGTATCTCAGCTCCACCGCCATACTTAGGAATCACAGCTCCAAACCCGGGGCCAAGATGGCCAATGGATGACAAATGTCTTTGGATCCTGGGCAAAGCATAGCTGGCGGAAGTATCATGCTGAGAAAGTTGCGACAGGGACAGCGACAGCAGAGGATTGTGAAGTTCCTCCGGGACGCTGAACTTGGAAGCAAGATAATCGCTCAAGGACATTGACATATCGGCATCTTCATTTGAAGCGTCATCCTCATTGGGTTTCGTGATATGACGCAATAATCGCATGAGGGTTCTCTTAGACTTCATGCTGATATGATTTGCAGCAAACACATCCTCCCGGTTGCCAGGTACGCGATAGAGAATCTTTTCTGCACCGAGTTTGTCATTTTCAGACTCTAGCTGTTCAGGGGCGTAAATCCACCAGCTTCCAACAGCCATAAACTCCAGCTGGCGAAAGACCTTCGAGGATACGAGCGCTGACATTAGTTGAGAACGGGCATATAGGAAATACGGGGACAGGGACAAAGTGTAAGCACGACTAGATGCAAGTTTGGGAGAAATTCTTGTATCATCGGACAAAGGGGGTGCATCCTGTTTGAAGATTGAGGCATCTTTGAACGGTGATATATGTGTGTCTATTTGGCAACATAATATTAGCCATGAGCCAACCAGCCATAAAAAGGGTAACTCACCTTTATTGACTTTCTCTACCCACTGCTGGGCCTCATCAAGACTGAAGGCTGCATCTGAACCACCATAGTACTGGTTTGAGTCCATGTGAAGAACCTTCTTTCCAGATCGTGAGAGGGCCCTTTGGGAGTGTGAGTGCTCAACTCACCGCCACCCTAGAAAAGTCACTCACAGTGCCAGAAGTGACTGGTAAATCCCAGTCCCAAGAATGATCACATCCCAAGTCGTGTCTGACAGAGTTTCCATGGTATGAAAATCAGGAAGCTCTAGCTGCAGGTAAGTTTGAGTATTACAGCCAAATTTGGCAGCTCAAGCTCTCAGGAGGTTGAGAATTGGGAGATGATTATTTAATGCCACTGAAACATTCTCAGTCTTCCAATAAGCTCAAACAGTGGAAATCCCACAAACTTGAGTTTTGGGGGGAAAGAAGAAGAGAATAAAAAAATTGAAGGAGAAAAACGCGGGAAGTGAGCGAAGGCGGTCACCTAGTCCCCACTTAGAGACCATAGGACTAAAATCGACGTCGAAGAACATTGCATAAAGAAAACACATGTACGGCGTGGTTAAAATGAACTCGGCTTTTCATCAGTGACATGAATGGTACGGGAATTATACGATTTGAGTATCTCCTACATTGACTTTTCTCTGTTTGTCTACGAGTTGGATAGTTTAGGATGCCTCTGAAAATATATATACTCCAGGTGTACAGGAGGAAGAGCTATTCTGCAACATACTAGAATCGCTTCACCAGTTGAAAGCTTGGATGGCATATAGATAACCTGAGCAGTTTCGCATACTTTAAGAAAACCCGGTCATTGAAAGAATATAAACGGTTGGGAATGGTCAAGGAAAACGTCTCATGGGTGATAATTGCGACCAGATGTTCGTTCGCCTTTCGCAGAGCGGACGGGCACGGTCAGTCGTTACAATGCAACTATGAAGATGAAGACCATGGCAGTGTCATTCAGCGGCACTGAGCAGAGCTATCCTCTATCTCCTCGATCAAGAAGGGGGAAGATGAAAAATGAATGATTGTCGCAACAACTTCTATTGATGTAAGCGAGCCACCCACACCGATATCGGAATTTATTTTTTGCTCTATCTTATGTGTAGCTACCAACACCAGGAGATGATGCTTACGCTGGTTTACTTCGATAATAGAGACAACCGAACCAAATAGAGCCTATCTGCTTCAGGCGGGAAGTTATGCTTAACTACCTAGGTGAGACCATAGATTACTCAGCAGTTCCAAAAGAGGTTAGGCTACACCGCTATATGAACAGAAATTTCGGCGGAACACTTTTCTCCTTCCATACCACTCCCGGTGTTCTGCACAGAATGGGTTACTATACTATGGTAGCCTGGTCTTCATTGACGCAGTCCTTCACTGGACTTCGTTTGGGAGTGGTAGATAAGATTTCTTGTCACTCTGTATCTGCTGCTCTTGATGGAGACATTTGATAGAAGCGGTTCGTTTTGTAGTGATACATCCATAATCTCATTATTAGAGTGATACCTTGCTCTGTCACTCTGATATTGTAGTTCGTAGAGTCCAGGGGGCTTGGATAGAGCACCTCGAGACAACAACAAGACAATGCTGCTCTAGCATGACTTGGGCCGGGCGCGCCGAGGGTTGTGCCTGCAACTGCACCGCACAAATTGGGTAACACTTGTTTTTTTTCCCCCAAGAGAAGATACTTGATGTGCATGACCCTCCACCGTAATCCGATGGAATAAGCTGCAGCGCACGACGTTCACTCTTGTGTGCCTGCTTCAACTACACGAGCCCGAATGATCTTTAACTCGTCCACTGGCTTGTCCTCCGCACCGGTCTTGACCAGTCCCATACGCTGGATCACTCTCATGCCATTTTTCACTCGACCGAAAATCGTGTGGTTCCCGTCCAGCCAGGGTGTCGGCGCGAGAGTGATGAAGAACTGACTGCCGTTGGTGTTCGGTCCACTGTTCGCCATGCTCAGAATTCCAGCGCCGGTGTGTTTAAGCTCTCCGCGAATCTCATCCTCAAATTTCTCGCCGTAGATGGAGCTGCCTCCTCGACCGGTGCCAGTGGGATCGCCAGTTTGGACCATGAAGTCAGGAATGATGCGATGGAAGATGACATTGTTGTAGTAGCCACGTTCAGCGAGGGTTGCAAAGTTCTTGCATGTCTGAAGAGAAAGACATTAGTGAGGACTCTCTAGGAGCTATAGAATGAGCTCATACCTTGGGCGCATGTGTATTGTAGAGCTCCACGGAGAAGGACCCCTGCTATGGGTTAGTAAGTGATTGGGAGAACAACGAAGTACAATTTACCATAGACGTGTCAAAAGCCACCTCAGTTGTCATGATGAGGATGTAGCGTAGAATCGTAAATAAAAGAGCCGAGGAACAGAGCTGAGAGTTTGCGAGAAACGAAATCACCAACGATACGGATGAGTGCAGCGACCCCATTGGGCCAATTTGTCTGGCAGAAAACCAGTACCGCCCTATCTATAGATTCAATAATCCACACTACAATTTACAATTGTCAAAGTTAAAGAAAAGGAAGAGGTTTTGTATCTTCCTTAGTATACTATACAAAAGCTACCTGATTTTGTAATTTTATCGTTGAGTGAAAATTATCGTTGATTGGGGCTCACCAACACACGGCATGTGTTTTGGGCGCCTGGCACGATGATGTTGTAGGGATCTTCAGAGAAAGCGGTGAATTAAATTGTGCCTGGTCACTAAGCGCTGGTAACCAACCTCAAAGAATTCCCACATTTCGTGGGCATTATGGTCTGATTCATTCTGTCTTTGTTTCCTGGCTTCAATTGCCTATCATTTTCCTGTGCTCATAACAATTTTCTGTCCACCATGGCTGACGTCAGCCCTGTCGCCGAACTTCTTGGACAAGCCTTCTACCACTTCGACCGTCTGAGACCACTTCTTCCAACTTACGGACACCTACTTGTTTCCGCTCTTTTTCCAATTTG